GCAGCCGCCCCTGCGTGGGGCTGTGGGGGAGCTGCGTGCCTCCGGCTGGGGCACCGCCGGGGTTTTTATTTTTGACTATTGTGTGAGCTGGCCCACAGTCAGGTGGGGCCGGGGCCAGGAAAACGAACTGGTGCAAGGAGCGCAGCCAAACCCCTGGCCGAGCCCGGCTGCTTCCCAGCAGCGAGAGCGCCGAGGGGATGGGGGGCCTGTGCAGCTCGCGCTGACTACGTGGCAAAGGGCAAAGCTTTTCCATAGTGTTGCAAGGCACATACTTTACAGGGGTGTATTGCTCCTCGCCCTCCTCCTTGCCTCCCCTGAGCTGTTTGTCTTGCTGCAGGATCAACCTTTACTTCCTAACAGCCACACACGCAAATAATAATAATTAATAATGATAATAACAATAAAAAAATCGCCACATCAGTCAGTCAGCGGATCAGACAATGAAGGAAAGGCAGCTGGCTGGCAAACTGAAGCCCATCGTCTTCTGTGCTAACTGCAAAGGGGGAAAAAAAAAAATAAATGTAACATGCTGAAGTCATTACAAAAGGTCGATGCTCTGCTGGCGTCTCATCCCGGCTGAGCACCAGGTGCGGGAGCCCCTCGGCCCAGCGCCGGCCCGGGGCTTGGCTGACAAACTTGGGACCAGTGAAGAGAGCCCTGCAGAGGACTTTGTAATGGCAGCAGTGGAGCGCAGCAAGAGCTGTGCCCAGCAGCTCGGTGCTGGGGTGCAAAGGGGACGCTCCCCTGGCTGTCAGTGCTGGGGAAGCAGCGACAGGGTGTGTGGGTGTCAGCGAGCTCATGTGTCCCTGCGTGCCTGTGCTTCAGGAGGAAGGTGCTGTGCCTGTGTCCCACTTCACTGACGCAGCTCTTCTGCCCCAGCAGGGCCAGCGCTGCTCCATAGGCTGTTGGTGATGAAAAAGCATTAAATAGCACAAAAAAGAAAACACCAAGCAAAAAAAAGAGAGGGGGAGGGGAAAAAAAAAAACCCCACCCCACAACACACCCAAACCCCAAACTGAACAAAAGAACAGCAGTACAATCTTCAGAAATGCATGTGCTGCACCAAATCACCACCCTTGGGCCAAGCCTCAGCCTTTTGCCACGCAGCCACGTGGGCGAGGGAAGACAGGAGCGTGCAGGCAGGTGAGATGGGGGGGATGAGGGGGGCAGGGGCGCGTGTGTGTCTGTGTTGGGGTGTGTGTGTACAGTGCCTTGGAGGGCAGCCCAAGCCCTGGACCACCACGGCAGTGCAGTGTGACCCCAGCGCTCGGCACTCCATCTCGGGAGGTGATTTAACAGGGACCGAAAAATAATCAACAACAAAAAAAACCCCAAAACAACCCACAATTTTGGACAGTGCATAAATAGCAAGGATGGACCGTGTCCCTCCTGCACCAGCTGCAGATGCCAGTGCCGGGACTGCAGCATCGTGCCTCGCTCACACCTCTGGCACCAGGCATCGCACGCCCGGGTCCGTTTGTCCCAGGCGAGGGGCCAGCTGAGCTGTACAATCCCTGGGCAGGGTGCAGCCCGTGGGAAGGGTGAGGCACAGGAATGAGCTAACAGAGGGGTCTGCCCTTGCTGTGCCAGGAGCCCGAGGGAGCTGCCAGCAATGGGGCTCAGTCTGGCAGCAGGACCTGTCACACACCGGAGGGGACCGGCCGTGCCCCTGCGCCGCAGGAGCTACTGCAGCGATTTGACAATAGCCCTCAGAGCGTGGGGCGGCTCCGGGACGGAGGGAGACGCGCTGTAGAAGGTGTCGGTGTGATTTCTGCGCTGCTCTCGGAGGTACGGAGGGACAGATGAACTTTTGATGTGGAGGATCCTTGTGTCCATCACTTCGCAGTCGATCTGCATCATCACCTCGTAGTCCTGCCCGTTGATCACATTCTCTGTAAAAGTAAGGAAAAAAAAAATAAAAAAAGGTTAAAATGGTTAAAATTAGACCTGCAAGCAAGTGACCCAACAGCACCAAATACTGGACTTTTTTTTCATCTGGAGCAAGAGCTGGAGGGGCCAAGGGGAACCCCCTTTCGCACACGGGGCTCCATCTCACATGATGCAGCCCCAGTCTGCTCGTGACACCTCAAAGGGCCCAGGCCACGCTTAGCATGTGCACTCACACCTAGAAATTAATACAAGTATTTTCTTAGGGAAAATCTGCACATAATTACTGATGGAGTTGGCGCTGTGCAACATTTATTACTGAACTGTTGTTCTTGATCCACAAAAGTGTAGAGGTGATTGAAGATAGGGCTTATTTAAGCAAGTTGGATGTTTCACTTTCTTTTTATCAGTTTAAGAATATCGCACTCCTCTTGGCACTGAGGATCTAGAGGTATTTCTTTTCCCAGATTGTTAAAAAAAAGTTAAAATGCAGTCCCTCAAAAGAATTAACTGTGCCTCATTACTGTGCTGACCTGGCTGTTTGAATTGCATGATGTTGTGGTGACAGTGGGCAAGGCCATCGCCCTGAGACACCTCTGGACACGGGGAGACCCAGGCCAGCACATGGGGATGGCAGCGCGAGGGCTGCTTCATGCCGGCGTGGCCCCCAGCCAGGCACCTCTGCTGCAGCAGAAGCTCCTGGGCTTGCAGGCAGAGGCTGTGCACATGGCCAGCATCTGCTGCCTGGATTTGAAGGTGGGAGACTATTCCCTGCATAGACAGTGTGCCCAGGAATGCAAGAGCCGAGATCAGATTTCCAGGCACGACCAATCCTTGCCTTTCAGAGTCAAAAACGCTGACTGCCATTGGCGGGGTTTTCTTACTGTGCTAAGGAGGATGGAAGATCACCTAATGGAAAGCGTATGGATTGGAGAAATGCAATATACATTACTAATTTTTACTGTTTTCCTGGATTAACTCTGACTCTGGATGACAGCTGACAACCGCGGCCGGACCCTCTTGTACCCCACACCACCTGTAGAAGCCATTAGATCAAGTATGTCTGGTATAGTAATGAAAAGCAGGAGCAAACCCTTGCTAAGGGGGCTGAAAGCCTGCAAGGGAAATCGACTCTCACCTGCAGAAATGAAATGGAAAAAGCTCTGTATGTGCCACCATGTGACCAAGACCAGGAGCCCTGTGCAGGTCGCTGTGCTGCTGACCCGATCACCCCAAGTGCCTCATCCCTCCCGGCCATGGTGCTGCCGGTAAAGCGCTGCCATAGCTTTAGATGCTCTGTCCCCTTTTTTTGAGGCTATCCCTCCTGGTCACTCTTTCTCTCATCCTTTGGATGTGCTCTTGGTTCCCACCCAAGAGGCTCAGGACCAGACAGTGCAGAGGGCTGGGCTGGTGGTGCAGCTCAGGACAGGCGGCTGCACGGTGCAGCTGGGAACACAAGGAGAAGCTGCGGTGGAGCAAGAGCCTGGATTTTGGGTTTGAGAGAGAAAAAGGGAAAAGATAATCTCCCCGTGACACAGCAAGCTGGAAACACAGCCCTTCAGCTCTCACGTTGCAGAGACAGGACCTTGGCTATGTGAGAAAATGTGCTCCAAAGCCACAAGTGGGTGAGGTGGGCTGGGACAGCAGCCAGCGCCAGGAAAACCTCTTGCTAAGGCAGTACAACTTTCAGTGGCCAGCCCAGCCGGCTGTCAGTAGGTTCCCCGGCATTGCACAGCACAGAGGAGAGCAGCAATCCCGACGAGCAGCCTCTGTGAGGGAGGGAGCTCGGGAACTGCTCCAGCCCATCTCGGACAGCCAGGATCCGGCTTCTCCCAGCGCTGACACGGGCTCCCCCATGACTAAGTGGACCGGCAATTAAGTAAGTCAGCCACAGCTCTGCCATCCGGTGCAAAAGGTGTTGTGTCTTCTGAGGCCACCACAGCAGAGGTAGGATGCTGGGAGGACTCGCACTCACAAGTCTCTCTGGCCAGCAGTCACAGAGGGGGCTCACACACCCAACTCAGACACTTGCAAAGCGCCTGAATCCTGTCCAGTGTCTGAGAACTAGCCCAGGAGCGACACTCGTGTTTAAAGACAGGTATCTGATTCTTTCCCCTTTTGGGCTGAAGGTACTGTCGATGAAGAACTGCTGCAGGGAGCCTCTGCAAAAGGTCTCATCTCACAGGGATGAGGACAGTCATTGGCAAAGACTTGATTCCCGCTACAGACATGTCTAGTGACCCTTCTCATTACTGTTAAAACCAAACTGACTCAGAAGAGGACAGCAGTTACTGCTCGGTGGTGCTGCTGGGTGCCTGGATCAGCTGTGCTGAAAGGAACAGTCTGAAAGTGGCAGCAGCCCCAGGATGCCTGGCCCCCTCCAGCCCGGAGGGTGGAGGGGCTGATGCTCTGCGTAAGCCCACGTGATGGTCTCAGCAAAACAACTGGCAAACGTGACCAGAATGCAGCTGGCGCAGTCCGATATTTGGAAAGGCTAATTCACTGTCAAAGGGGCAGTCTCTGTCCTGAGCTCAATGCCATTAAACTGTTTCATGATCTGGATGAGGAATAGAGAGCACACTTACAAGATTTCTGGAAGATGCTAAGCTGGAGAGGTTTCAACCACCTTGGCGTATTGGATTAGGCTGTAGTTACAATAAAGGACAGAAGCTGGCCAAAATCTTCAGGATGCATTTCAACCAAGGCCAGAGTGAAGCACAACGCTCAGGAGAACTGGAAAAAACGAGCACAAAGTGGGGCTGGGCAGAAACATTTCAGAAAAAGCCTGAGGGCTTCTCCTGCTCTGAGAGCACCAGGATAGAAGTTTCTGGGGCTCCTGGCACCTGTGGCAATCACGATGGAGAAGGGGGTGCAGCTGTGCCTGTGGTGAGGAGAGCATGGGTCAGCTGACGCAAAGGGATCAATCGCAGCGTTCCTGCCCATGGTGCTCGGTATAAAAAGGCGCCTAAGAAAAGCCCTGGGCCCTTCAGTGTCTGCTGTGCCGAGGGGATTGTTGCAGGCTCTTTGTCATCTCTCCCTGTGCTGCTGGTGTTCCTGCCTCCTGTTTTTCAGGACAGGTTGTCTTGCCCTCTCTCCTTAGATGGGAGCGGCACAGCTATTTTTTTTTTTTTGGTGACTATCATTGGGACTCTGGGCTCAGCTGCTCCTGAGTCCAACCTGGAACTTTTTTCCACTTGGGATCTAGTTGTCATCTGGAGGGCACGGGTATTAACATATTCTCTTCTATCTTTGAATATATTTGCATGCTTATATAATATCTGTATATAGTTCAACATCTTCGTTGCTATTCTAAGTGGTTTTTTCTTTTTCATTATACCAGTTCAAGTTTTTTTCAACCTCAAAGTCTCTCTCCCTGTTTCCCCTGTTATCCTCCCTTGCAAGGGTGGCGGTGGGATCACGAAGAGCATCTGTCAGAGTTTAGTGGCCAGCCCAACCTTAAACTTTGACAGGACTGCAGAAGATCACTATGGATAAGCCAACAGCATGACAGGACTAGAAATGATCAGCTTGATTTCAAGAGAAACAGATCTCTCTTTGACCAATTTTCTAATGATAACAAAATACAAGCCCTGGATGAAGCTACCCCAGGACACCAGAGGATCTCTGACCGGCAGAAAAGGCTGGATGACCGTCTGTCAGACCAGACCTGGGGTGCCTGACCTCACTTGGCACAGGCACTCAGTTGCTAGTGGTCCCTCTGGCCCTGCCTTTCCGCAAGCTGCAGGTGCCTGTTTGTGACTGGAGCCCCTTTAGGGTAGACTGCAACCCATCATGACAGAACCCAGGTCCACAAATAAGCCAACAAAGGTCAACTGAGCTGTGATGTCTGCTCTTTGCTCGTGACAAAGACAAAGCAACACAACTTGGGCAAAGCCCTTTCAGTGAGATTTGAGCTGATGTTTGCCACAGGGCAGGGACGCACACCTTCACCGCCTACGGTCCAGGTGGCATTGAGAGCTATGTCATGTTTCTTTGGTCAGTTTAAATCCAATAGATACATAGGTGGACAAGGTCAGCTGTGCTATTCCTAAGCCCATGTCAGCAAGTGGGCAATGTCTGGAGTAGAGTTGTGGGTTCTTTGTGTGACCCTGTTGTCTGACTTCATCCACAGAACAGGCCAACAACTTTGCGTTGCTATTCTGTCATCAGCTCTTTTAAAAAAATACAGGACTGACACCCCCAAAGATGCTGCTGCTGCATGTCTGCTGGCACAGGGCTGCTTAGTAGCTCAGAGCAACGCTGACACTGAATTATTTCTGAAGTTTATTGTGTTGAGTTACCTATGACTGATGTTTTGTGGGATTACCTAAGTGAAAACACAGGAACGGATCTCATGTAGAGGTGTCTGGGTTTATAAATAGATTTATTGCTCCTCTTTGAAGTTCAGAGCACACAGCCTCTCACACAGTACAGCCTCAGGCTTAAGACGCTATCCTTCCCAGGCCAAAAGGCTGTGCTGTGGTTAATTATTTGTTAACAGGTTTAAAAGCTGTGCTTCAGATGATGGACTATTTCAAATTAACAGCAAAGGTAACTGCGCCAAGCGTTGCTGTTCTCGGACTGCACCTTCTCAAAGTGGCTCCCTGGCTCCCGTGGGCTGTACCAAGCTCCCAGCACGAGCTTGGTCTAGGGAACAGAAATCTAACGAACGCCCTGGTGCCGCTCTCTTAAAACAAACATACTGCAAGATCCAACTAATGAAAGCTCAAGTCTGCAGTCCAGATCAAAAACACTTAGCAAATAAGGCCGAGAATAATAACTACCATTACAAACTACCCAGGCTGATGGAAGATTGTCTTCATATTGGAAGCGCTAGATTTTCAAACTGGCTTATTAGAAAGACTGTAAAACAAAAGTCCTTTTTCTCCCCTTGGTAGTACTGACACATATTGATCAGCTGAATGCTCAAATGTCTGTCTTTGAGATCAGGCATCTACTTCTACAAGGGATGCTGTCTCAGAGAAAGGCAGAGGACAGGCAGAGG